CACACAAATATAAACAGAAAATATCCCTACCCTCAAACACCATATGCTCAAACACCATAGACTGACAAACACAGGCATAAATCAACAGTGAAGACTTCATAAAGGAGATGGGATTTGAGTAAATCCTTGAGTAAGAGGTAGCACTTCCACAAGTGGAGGTGAAGAGGAGGGCATATTGGGAAGAAATCTATATAAATAAAACCCTAAGCAACTGGAACAACATGTCGCTATGACATGCACTGCAGGCAGCAGGGCCAGCCGGCCATCTTCCCACAGCCCCTCCCCACAGTGCATGAATTCATGCACTGGGCCTCTAGTCTTATATAAAGACCCAGAGCTAAAAATAAGCACAGTGCCTATGGAGAAAGAGGCACATGTGTGCTATGAACAGAAAGTGTGCAGGGTGCCCAAAAGCCAAAGAGACAGCTCAGTGTCACTCAGAGAAGCCTTCCTCGCCATCCCAGCCAACCAAAAGCAGCAGCTCCTCCCATTCATAATCTCTCCAGCACATTTTACTTTTTCTTTATAGAACTAACCACAAATTACAATTATTATGTACTTATCTGCATGTTCATTTGTTTAGTGCTGTCCTACCCCCAGTTATCTTGAGTATTTAGCACTGGATCTGCCATACCAGAAGCACTCAATAAAGTATTAATTAAAGTAATGAACAAAAAGTATCCACTCCTACTTCTCTTCCCTGCAGCTACCCCACTCCTCTTCCTCCATTATATGTCATTTCATTCACCTTGGTCCCTCTCTGATCTACTGCCCCTTTTAGCTAATCTCTCCTTTTTCCTTACTCTTTCACTTCAGCCCAGCTCTTAACCCATTATAAAAATAAAAACGATATATATATTAAAACCGTGGTTCAGAATTGCAATGTTCTAACACTCTTCTGAATCACAACCACTTAGAAACTGGTACCCAAGAAATCTGTTATGGCAAAGTACTAAGGTTGTATGTTGTTATGTAAGCATAATAGATGTAGGTATATATTACATGAACAAACAAAAGCAGATATAGAGGTCTTCCTGGCTGGTGTGGCTCAGCTGGGTGAGTGTTATCCCATGTACAGAGAGGTTGCCAGTTTGATTCCTGGTTAGAGCACATGTCTAAGTTATGGACTCGATCCCCAGTAGGGAGGGCATGCAGGAGACCGACTGATGTTTCTCATCGATGTTTCTCTCTCCCCCTCTTCCTTCCTCTCCCTAAAATCAATTAAAAAAATTTTTTTTAAAGAAATAGAGTTATTCCTGTTGCCTTACTTTCCTGAATACGAGAGTCTTTCCCATAACTGGATGATCCTATCTGGCTGTACTCAAAGCTACTGAAGTCATGAAAAACAAGGAAAGACTGAGAAACTGTCACAGACTAAAGACTGGGAAGACACAATGACTAAATGCAATGTAGTACCTTGGACTGGATCCTGGAACAGAAAGTACATATTAATGGAAAAACTGGTGAAATCCAAATAGAGTCTGGAATTTAGTTAAAAATATATATGGTACTAAAAAATGATTAAGATTCAAGTCTATTATTTTATCTATAATAATAAAAGAGTAATATGCTAATTAGACCAGATATCCTTCCAGATGACCTTCCAGACGAAGCCAGGGCTGCGAGGGAAGCCCGGAACCCAGGTGCCAGAGGGAAGCCAGTGCCAGCAGCTGGGGGAAGGAAGGCCTACTCTTGCATGAATTTTGTACCTCAGGCCTCTAGTGTTATTATAAAAGAGAAAGAGATTGGGCAAGTCAGTCAGGAGTGCAACTCAGGCCAGGGTAGCTGAGGCCTAAAGCTGAAAAGCTACATATAGATCTACTTTCATTTTGGCTCTTACCTAATGCCATGAGAATTACATAGCCTGCAATTGCTTGAAATCAACTACTTAGTTTTGACTTCCTTAGCATGCTCATTCATACAGTCATGTGTTAAGGATGGGGTCACATTCTGAGAAATGTGTCCTTAGGTGATTTTGTCATATGTGAGCATCATAGAGTGCACTTACACAACCCTAGATGTTATAGCCTACTACACACCTATGCTATATGGTATAGTCTATTGCTCCTAGGCCACAAGCCTCTACAGCAGTGGTTCTCAACCTGTGGGTCTCAATCCCTTTGGGGGTCGAATGACCCTTTCACAGGGCCGCCTAAGACCATCGGAAAACACATATATAATTACAT